TTTTTTTTTTTTTTTTTTTTTTTCTCTTGTTCTTGTAAACGAGATTAATGGCTGCTTTGGTGTCACATCAATGTTGTAGAAGCAGGAATTCATTTGGTATGACTTGAGATCAGGACGTTTCATCACTGATGTCTGCTTTTGTTCATTTTTCTTGTGATTTTTTCTGTTACCATAATATAAATCCAAGTATTTGTTTGGAGAATGATCAGTCGTTTAACTTTTGTAGGAGACTGCTTCACGTTTAGGACTTTGTGATTATTTAAGCCATTATGGCTTTGGTCATGACGTAAATGATATCTTATACTTGGCCGATATTGTTTTTTGTGAATTTTTGCAAAATGTACGAGATTTTCCTTCCCTACTCATTCGGACCATGACCTTTGTAAGTTCATGACGTTTAGGACTTCGGACCATGACCTTTGTACTATAGAACAATACTCTCATTTTCCTTTGTTTCCATTCTACGTCCCTCCCCCCTTCCTCTACTAGAAAGGAAAAGTATAATAGTAGTGTCTTGAAACGTGCAGGTTGTCGAGGGGATCCATGGGTTACTTTTTACTAAATTCAGTTTGGATGCTTTGATAAGAGCTCTCTCGATTCTTAGTTCTGATGGAAGGCTCACTAGAATTGCAAACAATAATGCTTCATCCGGAAGATTGCTAACTAAAAATGTGCTTGCTACAGAGTGCATTGCTGGATATATACAAATCTCTTGGAGGAAGTTCTCAAGAGATTTGCATATCCAAGTAAGAGCTTGAAAGGGCAGGGCAGCCAGTCCGCATTTACGAGATATACAGCGGATCTGGTGCTTGGACATTTTTGCATCATGGTGCTCTTTTTCGTGGACTTAGTCTTGTGAGCTTCTCCCATCCATAATATCTCTCACATTACCTCTATTGCTGTTCTTCAATTTCCACCCACGTTGACTCTATTACAATGGATTCCATTTTTTGGTTTGAATATTTATTGACTGAAATCTTGATATTTGGGCTGCAGGATGTTTGTTGATTTCATTAGATGCCGTAGACAGGAAGCTTGACAATGTCATATGAATGTGCTTGCTTGCTTCCTCAGGGCTGGAGGTAAATATGCTTTTATGATGTAGTTTTTGTTGAGAATTGTTGGGAGTGAGTCTCACATTGACTAATTTAGAGAATGATCATGAATTTACAAGTAAAGGAATACATTTCCATTGGTACGAGGCCTTTTGGGAAGCCCAAAGCAAAGCCATTGTAGAGATCCGTGATTCTTAAATCACTTCTTCTATATACCCTTCCAAAACTTTGTGAGGAAGAAAGTATTTCCTAAGGATCAGAAGAACTTCGTTCTTCTAACCATTTTTAAATTAGAACACTTGTTATACTAACACATTTAAAAGCCTTTAAAGCACTTTTCATCTCTTAGAATTTCTCAAAGACGTTAAAAATATTTAGAAAACTCTTTTTCTATTTAAAATTTTAACGAACACTACCATTTATGTAAATGTTATTGTTGGTTGTTGGAAATCCTGATAAATGCGTGGGCATATCATAGTGGGCGGAGAATGATTTGCTTAACTCAAAGAGCAACATCCGTTTGAAGAACGTCAGGAGTTCATGTGGTCGGAATCCTTCCAACATTACAATGCTGAAGGCCATGGATACAAATTTGGCTGAAACTCGTTAACAGGAGATGTATGTATGTTGGGAAGGGATTTATGCAAGTGATAGGAACAAAGGCTTGGGCTAAGCTTAAGCATGAATCACAGTCAAAAGCCGCTTGGAGGATATAGAAGAACTTCAATAATTTTGTCGTCAATGGTCCATTTTTTTTTTTAAATTTTGAATTGATGAAATATTTAGTTCTTTTCTTGCTGCAGATTGGAGATGCATATTCTAGATAGAGTCGTTGCTTTCTAACCCAGCGGCGGATGCTTGGTACAATTCAACGAGTACAGAAGACCGTCAAATTCAAGTACGTGACTTTCTTTCAAGCTTTTTTCCACTGATTCTTTCAGTTTCTAAAATCCAATTTAGACACTTAACCAACTTGAAAAATGATGGATAAGACTAGATTTTCTACTTCCAGCCTTTTGAGAATTTAAGCGGACTATGAACTTGCTAAAAAAAATTTCTCTAGGCTTCATTCCTTTTTTTTTAAAAAAAAATTAAATTAAATCATATTTTGGTAAGTGATTTTTTTAATATTAGTTAGTGATTATTTTAACTTTGTCATTTGTTTAAAAAATGTTTGTAATATTACACTGACTTTTTATTTGATGAAAAATAACATGTTTGAATGTCATTTTTCATATAGATTAAGGTTTGGGTCATCATCACATCACCTCAATTTATCTTTAACGTTTTAAAATTTTTACTTCAAAAAAATAGTTTCATATATTTGCCATTTTTTTTAAATTTAAATAAATAGTTAGGTTCTATTTTTTTTTTTTAATTTACGCTGTGAGTATTTTTTTAAAAAACAAAAGGTGCAGAAAAATTAAATTAATAAAAATAAGTTCCTCAATTTTTAAAGTTTAAATAAAAAACAGTCATATAAATTGAAACTTCAATATTTTTTTGCTTAAAAGATACTCGGTAAGGGTTTCAAAAATATCAAATTTTCAAAATTTTAAAAAATGCATAAACTTTTTCAAAACTTTTTTTTTATAAAGGAGTTTACTTTTAAAATTTTATGAATATTTTTTAAATACAGTAGAAACAAACTTCTACAAGACTTTTAAATATTGAAAAAGCTTCAACGCTGTCTGATGTCATTTACTTTTCTAAATATTTTCTGATCAACGCTGTCGGATGTCATTTACTTTTCTAAATATTTTTTTGAATTAGTTTTTTGATATAGAAGAGCACTTTTTTAGAAAAAAAATTTTAAAATATTTTTGAAATAAAATATTGACTTCAAAAGTATATTATTAAAACAAAGTACAAATTTTTAGGGATATTTTTTTTATTTAACCTAATAAAATACTTTATTGTTTGTTTATATATGTTTTGAAGCGTGTTTTGGACGATTATATTACTTTAAAAAATAAAAAAAGACAATAGGAAAAGAAAGCCAAAGAAGTGAGACAGTGTACTTAGAAAGATTTAAGAAATTTTTATTACATTTTATAAATCAACATCATTTAAAATACTCTACCCATCAAATAATCTAACTGTAATCGTGCCAACAAAATTCGATCCATTTATTTCTTGGTCTTTATTGACACTATTATTATACTCTATGATATAAAATTTTCAAAATAATATTAATATAATTCAGATAGCCCTCTCAAACAGAACATACCCTGATTTAATTTTCATCCGGGCAAGCTTCAAGAAATTGCTTTATTTTGCTCCTTTCTTCATTCGTGAGTTCTGGGTCATCTCCAGTTAACCTTCCTCGAACAATAGCTCTCTCACTACTTGGATCATCATCACCATCAACCTAATACAAAGATCAATTTTTTTTTTTTAAGAATTTAAGTGTTGGAATAAAGAAACCAAATAGTTGTTCATTTTTCTTAAAACAATTATTTAAATTTTTGGCCAAATAGAAAGCTTTTTTTTTTTATATGGAAAAGTAAATTTTTAATTTTCAAATCTTGTGAAATTAGTATTTATATACTTATTTTATTAAAAATATATATATAAATAGCAAGTAACTTCAAGTTAAAATCACGTTAAGAAATAATAATAAATAAATAAGAAGGAATAATTTCATTAATTATGGAGATCGTACTTGAATGAAATTGTTGACGTGGCCATCTTTGTTGGGTGGAGTAACGGGCTCGGTTTCGTTGCACCTCCATTGACCGTCAATGATATATTTGTATTCATATAGTCCTTCCTGTTAAACCAAATGACAAAATTACAAGAAACCAACAACCACACCACTAATTACAATTTACAATTATGAAACATCATTAAATTTCAACATAATGAATTGAAAAAATCAACACTTATACTCATACCGCCAGTTCCTTGTTGAGAATCCATACACCTCGTTCCTTGTCGAATTTTAATAGAACCCTCTGGGAGAAAAATTCCACAAATATAACAATAAATACTTCTTACTAATCAAAGTTGTTGATAATTCTTAAGCTAAGGCCCAATAACTTTTATCCGGATCGAAAAAGTTCAAAATTTTCATTTTTAATTTGGCCACAAGTGAAATTGTAGAATACATCCCCTTGGCCGGTACGATTGTTAATCGTATCTTTTTTTTATTTTCTTTGATTCATCATAATCATGCGAGATGGAAAAAACTATTTTTAATTTTCTTTGATTCATCATAATGATTATGCGAGATGGAAAAAACTATTTATTAAATCATCAGGATGATGATCCATCAAGCTTCACCTGAGAAGGGACAAACAAAGTGCAAAAGAAAGAAGGAAAGAAAGAAAAAAGCTTGTGATACAGAAGCAGTATGGTTAAGTAATTCAGATTGCACAGAAAATTCTTCTTTTGCATGCTACAGTGAATTAAAGACATGTGCAGATAGATACCTTTAAAAACTATCATGTATAGTTAAAGACAATGATTCAAAGGTTGATCCATGTACTTCTGACTAGCCTAGAGAGATCTACATGACTTGTTCGATTCCGATACATTTACGTCAAGTTGACTGCAAATAGCCAACTTAACTGATGATAATCCTATTAATGTTATAACCTATAATATAGTTAATTAGAGGGGAAAACTCCAATTGTGCAACAACTCATATGAAGTTATCTAAATTGGTATCCGTACGAGTTGAAACTCTTTTTTTAATGCAAAACTCGGAGACTAAATATATCCAAAAGATAGAAAGGCAGCCTAAAGGCATTGGGGATGAGAGGTGCCTAAACCTAAGAAGAGGGAAACAAGAGAGAAGGCCACCAATCTAGAAAGATGAAAGAGCAATGTGTTTTACAAAAATAATTATTTTTCAAGGGTACCCAACAGTGGTCTAAGCCACCACTTGATACCTCTCAATTTAATGTTGAGGGTTGTTGGGAGAGGAGTCCCACGTCGACTAATTATGGGATTGATCATGGATTTATAAGTTGGGATATATCTCCATTGATACGAGACCATTTGGAGAAACAAAAAGTAAAGTCACGAGAGCTTAGGTTCATTTAATGCCTAATTCCACAACTTCACACCATCCACAGGTAAAAATGCCAAAAGATGGCCCAAATTCTTTCTAGGATATAAATAGCAGTCGTCTATTCACCAACGAGAAACAAAAAATTTCCATTTACAACCCTGATATACTTGTTATGCTATCTAGACTTCAATGATTCTTAAAGAATTAAAGGATTCAAATTTAAAACATAAGATTTGAAAATCTCATCAATTGTCAACTAATTCCTGCTATGAATGCATATTTAAGGACTGTTTAGAGTATCCAAATATATTGTGATCTATTAAAGAAAAGTATTAAGCAAGAGAAATGCAGAGTTATAAACTATTAGAGACAGAAGAAATTAAAGACATATGTTACACGTATATACCGTTTTCCAAAACTAAATCAAACGTTCAAGGAAGTGATAGGCATCAATCAAGTAGATGGTAGAGGAAGAAAGAAAGAAAAATGGTTACCTGACCCCATCCAATATCAAGTCCAGATACCTCTACAATTGAGCATTGGTCATCTTCCCACGATAAAGTGATAGGCTTCTTTTTAAATCCCGAAAGCTTCAAGAAAAATACATCGGTCAATCACTTCCGTAACACATTATAACGAAGAGATGATAAGATGCGAAGTCAGCTTTCTCAAAATTCATGTGGCGATGAAATTAAAAAAACAAGATAAAGAAAAAAAAAAAAAAGACAGTAGCTGTAACTCGCAAGGAATAAAACTTGAGTCCATAATCAGCCTCTTGCCTTCATTACTCACAGTAACCAACCTCCAAGCACCTCTTAGAAGAAAAAAATTAAGTCAACAGAAATTGGTAGCTCCTCTCCTCATTTGTGTAGGTTTTCAATTGTCCCAATTAACGAGCACTCATAGCTAAATTAAATGCTGAAAAATATATCAAAATTAAAATTACAGAACAAGTTACGAAGTCAGCTAAGGAACTAACCCACGGAACTCAATTAAAAAAGGCAATGATCTTCAGCTTTGGGGATAAAATCTATTATGCAAATAAATAATGAGATATAAATACTTATTTTAGAAAAAGAAAAGATGAAATATATATATACTTACAATATCAGCCGTTGAACTTTTAATAGCATCTATTTTTGGGAAGCATGGTCGTTTGCTCTGCAAAGAAAGCAAATCCAAGAACATTCAGCATTAGACGTATTTAGTTTGAGATCAGTACTTCATGATTAACAAAAAGGTTGTAGCCGTGATTACAAATCAAGAAACTAGTTGACACTTCGGTTAATACAATATTTATAATTAACAAAAAGGTTTATCGACTCCAAACAGAGTTGTAAATGTAGTTTAGATTTATTTTGGCTCTTTATACTTTCAGTTTTATCGAGCTTGGTTTTTTATTATAAAAAATAAAAATAAAAAACTGGTAGATGAGGTTATGTAGATTTTGTATTGCAGTATGGTATGAAACTGAATTCTTATTATTCCAATTCAGCAGAAAATAATAGAAACACGCAGAGTAAATCTAACCAACAGAAGGTTTCTGACATTGCTGTACTTTAAATGCACATGAGGGAAGTTACCAGCAGTAATTCTAAAGCCTCATTGAGCGTGTAGCCTTGAACCCAGAACATATAAGCCAGCTGTAGTTCATAAGATATTTCAAGAGTTTGTAAGAAACCAATCGAATAATTATCAGTACATTTTATGAAAAAAAAAAAAAA